GATTCAGGTGTTGCAATAAGAATTAAGAGACCCCAGAAAGTCTGAAATCCATGTCAAGAGCTCAGAGTTATTTGGGTGGTTTGTCCATTGCATGCCTAGCTGTTCGTGTGGGAGAGGGGACGAATTGCCACCCATCCACCCTGGGGAACAAGCCAATAAATCAGATCCTAGGGAATGATTGTTATCGCTGAGGAACCGATCCTTATCGAACAACTGAGAGAGAGAAAGGGAGACAAGAGAGGCTTAAGTCATTCTGAGGGTGTCTGGATTTTCTGATCTGTTTTATGGGATTAGGAACTTTCCAGATAGGGTGGGAACGCAGTTCCCATCATCCTCGAACGCTGACCCTGCTCCTGGGGCCGATGGGAAGTGGCAAGTTCCCCACCTCTAGAATAAACCTCCCTGTTTTTTGCCTGTGTGCTTGTGACTCTGTATTTCTGGGACCCCCCCCTTTTTTTACTCTTCCCCATCTACATTCTTCCCCCCCCAATGGGACTGGGTTCAGATGGGGGGAGGCACATTGTGGCACCCATGCTCCCCTCCCTCCCTTTTGCATGCTACAGCCAATGGGAGGTCAGCACGCGTGGGTGCTTTGGGAAGAGGGCACCTGATTGGCTCTCGGTCCCTCTGATGTCACGGGGGTTCCGCCAAGCGGCTCGGTGGGTGGGTGTTCCATGGCAGTTGTGGGGCAGGGTTGGAGAAGGAAGGGGTGACCCCGTCTTGTTCTCTGAGGTGGGTCAAAGGGGGTTCATTTACAAGGAAAGTCCTCCCCCAGGACCAAGTGTGGCCAGAACCTCCGCTGTAAATTTGTGGGGACCCCTCAGCTCTGTGGCCTGTGGTTCAGTGAGAGGAAGGGTGCCCCCCCAATTGCATGGTCTGCCCAGGGGTGCTTCCCCCCCCCTGTGGTGTAAATCCTGGGGCTGGGGGGGAAGCTTCCTTCTGGTCGGGGTCCCCCTGGTGCTCACGGTCCTCCCTTCTTTTCTCTCGACAGGACTTGCTCTGAGATCTAGATGAGGGAGAGGGAGCCGGCCACCAGCAGCGCCCGAGGTCCCCCCCACGACGCCCTTGGATGGGAAGAGATCCAGACGGCTCGCAGGATCGGGTGGCGCCCTCCCTTCGGGGCGGGACGAAGTGGCACGGGGTGTGCAGAACAGGCCGCGTGGCGCTGCGGGACCACGGCTGACCAGTCGGGCCCGAGGTGGCCTCTGGAACGTCCCTTTTCCCTCTCTGTGTGTTTTTAAGTTATTTGGAAGCGCTTTGCCTTCGGGCCCAAGAGAGCCGCCCCAGGGGAGAACGGCTGCCGGGGGGGCGCCCAG